TGGTTAAATAATGTGATTACTATCATGTATGACAAATATCTTCACGTTTTTTCATTTTGAAAATGAATGTCATTTATTTGAATGTATTGTCATGATGATATGTTTTATGATGCATACTGCCTGTTATACTGTTTTAATAAGTTGCACTGACCTTTTGATAGCTTTACCTTGAGTAATTCAAACCAAGAATATTTAATATTCTCCCTATCATTATACCCTATCTCAGTGGTGACAAAGAATTATCTGTTTTTGATTGGACCTTTTAAACAGATTGAAAGAGACCTGAGACCAGTTGTACGACTCGCACTTGCTGACTTTTATGTTTTGATCATATATTTTATGCTTAACCTCATGACTTTCTCCAATACAGAATGACACAAGTTCATAACTGTTCAATCGCTGAGCCATCGAGTTGCTGTTTAGGTGTCCGGGAGAAGGCAGTGTATACACACTGTAGACCCCCACATGCCGATGTCTGCATGTCTGGAGGTGACCAGATTCATCAGAAGAAGCAGACTATGAGAAGCCCACATGACGTGGACACTTTTGCCAGGGGAAGGACACAGTGGAGGCTATGAAGGCCTGTATGGACTGAATGAACTGTGCATTCGAATCAGGCTCCTCAAAAGAGGTGAAAACGAGCCTGGACCTGTTTAGCCACCTGCTGAACACGACTTACAACTGAAAATGCTACAGAGACTGTCTTGAATTGCCCCTAAATGACCTCAACAAGGATACATAGTGACCCCATGGACACATTTATATCTGACCCACGGGATCAAATGGGGGTTATCTGTAAGAATTGAAATATTGCAAATATTCTGATATCTTTGACAATTCAAAACATGAGCTGAAAACAGAGACTGGTAACTTCACAACTCAGCAAGGGGAATGCGGGAAAAACCAGTTCCTGCTGCATTTGCATCTGAGTCTGCTTCATCCCCCTAACTCACACATATGGTCATTTCAATGTTTGAATGTTCTAGAATTAACCTAACTGACTTTAACTATCATGTTTGATATCATTTGAAATGTCTCAGTGCGATTGGTACAATGGTCTCATTCTCTCAGAAATAGACATAATCAGAACAATAAATATATAACTTCAGGCATCTTTTGAACCACTGAGAGGGGTGTGCCACTAAGTGTGAATGCCTTTTGTTCACACCCCCTTCCTTGAGGGAATTCTTGGATTATTTAAGGTAAGGCCTAAGAAAAGCTCAGGGCGATTCTGCCTAACCAGATCAGCCCATAACATGGCTTGTTCCATGTTATGTATATTTCAAAGTCAGGAATGCATCTTTTTCATCTTGGATTTATCTTTGATAATTTGATGTTTTGTATTGATCATTTATGAATTGACTGATTGAATTGGCATAATACATTTACCTGACTAATAAATTGTTATGTTTTGAATGATTCAAACAGAGTTCGTGTTATTATCTTTAGTAGATTGTGGTAATTTCATAGCACCACAAGCCCCTGTTCAGGTTAGTAGCGGACTAGAACACGGTAGACGGAGCATTGCGGCACGTTACACGATGTCTCTAGAGCTCCGACTAACAAATTGGCATTTATTCATGTATACTTAGGCTGTAAAAGGATATCTAAGGGGATAGTCCTTCACCCGATAAACTTTTAATACTATTTAGATAGTATAGTGATTATTCAAAGTTACTACTAGTTTAAGTACGACTGGTCTGCTTAATTCTATAGTAATGATCGTTATATGACTAAATAGCTCTGTCTGATTTAGGAGGTAGCAGACCTATGGGGACCGCATAAAAAATATCCTAATCTGAGTAAGTAGGGTTCTGCCTTTTTAGGATAGCGGTCAATCGCCCCTGTTTAGTGACCAAGACTGACATGCTTGTGCTTAAGAAATTGTATACTCGGCCGGTACAAGATTCAGGATGTTATAGAGATCCCAATGAACGAGAATAACATAAAATGATGAACCGAAGAGAATATTCAATCATAATCTAAATTAATGTGAACGGAAACAAAATAACCTTCTCAATGTTTTATAATTGGAGTCAGATAAAACGAGGATAAACATATTAATATTCTAAACCATCTCATACTAAAATTGGAGTCAGATATGAGTTAAGTTTAATATAAATCAACATTGTGCACTGGAAAGACCGAACATGCAGTGAACCTTCATCCACCATTGGATACCGTCATTGGACCAACTGGCTGGACCCTACAATGCTCATAGGAAAAACCCAGAGGAGTTACTGGAGGTTATTATAGCTTTATTTATTTATTTTTTTATTATATTGTATTAAATGTCAATGAAATTACCATATATTCTTCCTTAACCAATAAATGGTTAACCTGAATTTATCCAATGTAGTCATAAGATGCAACTAACCGTAAATGTTCCTCTTAATTAACTTGAGGTTGCTATTCATTTAAAAATTAAAAATTCACCATTCACTGTTTACATGGACACCAAAAATCCGATTTTATTACGATTAAGACAATAGAAGCCAATGATTAAGAATCTACGTTGTAAACATTAAGTTTGGATTAATTTAAGCTGATTAAGGTTATAATTGATCTAAACAAAAATTTAATTAAGACATGGAGTATGCCAATTATTGAAGTACAGTACAGACATGTAAACACCTTCATCAAACTATTACCGTTATGTAGAATTTTCGCATTTTGCAACAAGATATTTTATCCACACACCGCTGTTTAACACTATTCTCTACACCAACCGAGTCAGTGGGGACACCTGCATCATGAAATGCTGAGGGGTTTTTTTTCCCTTAAGGCATGCGCTATCAAATTCCAATCAAACAACACTCTTCCAGCTGTTCAAACTCGCTTCTCATTTGTCACAGGGGCATGCATGAAATGTTCATGAATGAAAGTGTCATACTGCAGTTAAAGTCAACAAATTAAAAATGAAATACCCGAAATTACAAGATACTCTAGAGGAAATGTGGATAGTGTGGTGACGCAATGACGTTAATCGATCTATGTGCTATAACATGTAGAACGGGATCATGAAAGGAACATTCAAAAAAGCAACTCATGTAAACATCTTAATCATATTATTGTCTTGTTCAGATTAAGGCAAATAATTTGATTACTGATGTACTCCATGCAAACGTAGCCACTGAAAACAAATGCAAAATCAGACTGAAATCAGGGATTTCATTTTTTTTAACCTGCAGGATCTTATCATTTCTTTTTTATTTATTTATTTTTATTACATATTAATAAAAATATATATTAATAATAAAATAAAATAATATTTTTTTATTATTACAGATCATTGACTAACAGCAAGACTGAAAGAAGATTATAAATAATTATTCATAAAGACAAATTTGAATTTTGATGAATTGTTTATTTACATTAATTTATTTATTTGGCACTAACGAAAAAGAAAATGTTTTCTTTATTTTTCTAGATTCTATTTTTTTTTTTTTAAGATTTCTTATTTCTAGAGGTTTGAAAACATGACAGTGACCTCTAGGCACCCTATAAATGAGTAATAGAGAAGCTTCTCTTTTTTTGAGAACCACAGCACATCCTTTATACTTTTAATTAGTATAAAGGAAGTGCCATATTTTAATGCTAGTTTCCATGAAAGTTATAAGTATTGCACATTAAAAGCTGATAAAGATCTACAGCCTCCACTGCAACGACTTATAAAATTATCTCACATTTGCACACCCTTCACTTTCATTTTCTTTATAGGATGATTGTTCCTGTGGTAGGGCTATGTTGCTGATAAGCCAGTGCCATCAAGTTTGCAAAATTTGCCAACCGATGTCTGTTCAGTGAGGTGAAGAGATGCTAAAAAAAACACTTTTCACTTTTTTTTGTCACTTGTGGTCAGAGTGACAGTTCCCACCCATTTGTTCATGTTTTTAAACTGGCTATTTTCCATAAGGTGATATTTTATGGTATGGAACGTAAGCAAGAGTGGGCAGCTGGACCAAAAAAAAGTGTGAAAATTTGGCCATTTAATGGCATACATGACAAATAGCCAAAGTAAATATTTCCACTATTCAGTTCTAGACACGTTTAGAAAAAAGCTGGTTCAATAAAATAAACACAAATGATTGCTTACTGCAGATTGATGACAAATCTGATACCTCCCAGCAGGCATATTTTGTTTTTAAAAGATGTCTAATAGATGTCTACACATAGCCTTGGCTAAAACAAGACTAAACTTGGGGTGTCAGTGAAAATCTAATAGACGTCATCTAAGAATAGGTCAAAACTATACAAATAAACAGAAATGAATGACTACACAAATAAAATCTGTCTATTTGACGACTAGTCTAGTTTGGGCTATTCTTAGATGTCTATTAGATTTTCACTGACAGCACAAGCTTAGCCTTGTTTTAGCCAAGCTGTCTAAGTTTAGATGTCTATTAGACGTCTATTAAACACAAAATTGTTTGATGTCTTACTGCCTTCAGGAATTAACCTGTAAATTTTCTGTATAAATTAAAAAAGTATTACTACATATTAGCCCAGCTGCTTTCTAAGTGAAAAGTTTCAGTTTCAGAAAGAAATCGCAAGTAACATAAAATAACACAAGAATATTTTGATAAAGAGACTAAAATGTTGTTAAAATACTCCAGTAATTTCATTTTACAGCATTTGCATGGTAATTTCACTACATTTAAATGTCTCTCCCTATTTTATATATCTTAAGACATCAGATAAAATATTACTCACAATTTAAAAATATGTAATTAATATTAATTTTTAGTGTTACCAAAGTATTACCCTTAAGCCAAACCAGAGGTTTGAGCAGATCTTGTCATTATCTTTTGTTACACTTGTTTGTCTGATGGACAAACAAGTCAACAGCACAGATGCACCTAATTACTAGTAAAAAGCAGGTTTAAGAAAGGAGAAAAAAATGAAAAGAAAGCCAATCACAGAGTGCTGATGATCAAGGGGAGGGGCAGGTTAGAGTTTAGAGTTGGCCTTGTTGAATCTCACCCACATGTAGGCCTCCTCTGGTCGATGACACCTCTGGCTGAGGTGGCGATGTGTGTTTTTGCACCTCTGTTGACTTGCTCGCAGCAGGACGCAGCCTTTACCTTGAGCGCATAGGTATGTCTTTGAACATTTCTTTAAGTCAGGTTCTTCTTCTTTTCCATCCTCTTGCCGTTTCTCTGCTGTCTCTCTACATCTTGCCCTCCCCCCCTTCAGCAGATGCTGTGCTTTCTATATCTGGAAAAACATCTTTTGATTACAGAAGCCTTCGTGCAAGTGTCTGATTGTGTGACGAGGTCTTCACTGTAGCAGGCCCGGAGAGGATGTGTCACTGCAGACAGGTTTTCCCCTGTTACTCATGGGCCTCTTTCTCTCGATTGCGTCTTTGTCTCTTTATGTGGGCCTGACCAGTGCATTTTTGCAGATTTCTGAAGTTTTCACCTGCATTGTGAAGAAGCCTTCTTTACTAGTGGCTGACACTGCTGTTGATAGATAGCGGTCATAGGTTGCTGTTGGACAGTAGTTTTGGTAATCGTAGCTTTGTACAATGGTTTGATTTGGTGGTAGGACAGAGCGCAATCCGCGTATCAGATTAAATACACCTTCAGATGTTCAATGGCTTGCACAGCAGGTAAGTCAATTTGCTTTTTGCGCTACAAGAGAACTTGTAGCTATTTTAGTCAAAATTGCATAGCAATTACGTAGCGCATTTTCACAGTTTCAGTCTTCTTATTCTCACGCTCAAATGAGAATTGAACAGTTTTAGAAGAAGTGGGTGAAGAAATAGGAACAGAAATATATACATTTTGTTGTGACGCTGCTTGTTTGCACACTGTAAATGAACATAGAACTTGATGTAAAACAAATAAATCGTTATTAGAAAATAAAAACGTTTTTATAAATGCATTTCTTTTGGCATTGTCAATTCTACTTTTATCGTTTAACCTTTCATCTGTTTTTTTTTTAAGTTTGTATATGAATGTCTACGCTCGAAAAGTTATTGATAATTTTATTTAGACTATTTTTGATTAGGAATATTCTAAGCATAAACACTATACTTTATTATACATATATAGATTACATCTAAAAGTATCCGATGCAGATCTGCTTGGATTTGTTGTTTTTTTTTCTATCACTTACGTTAAGCAAAAACTTAAAGCAAGTAAATGCGTTTAATAATCTTATATTCATTATTACATTTGTATTAATGATGACACATTGTATGCGCTGCGTTTACAGTGTCGCTTATGGGAATATGACTCATATATATTTATGACAGAATTATAATATCGTAGCATGAGACAACACATTATTTTCCGAGGAAAAAAGCATGCATGCTTAAGCTAACACTACAAAAATAAAACTGCTAAATTATTTTATATCAGCTTGCGAATTCTGTGTAAAAGGTATACGGTAGTCGACAGTTGAAGTGGATCATGACCTTTCATCAAAGCACTCCTATTGTCGTCATAGGACAATTTTGAAAATCTTTCTGACCCACTACTCCACTTTAAACGTTCATTTCTTCCAAAAATGGACAAATCTGTCTTCATGTTGTTTAAATATTGTGTGACATTTTATACAAAACGTTTGCGTTCTTCAGTGTTTAACTGAGATTCAGAAAGACAGGAGGGAGTAAATCATGGCGGCTTTCTTTTTTTTTGGAGTCAAATAACCCGATAAAAAAAACTTTCGTCAGCTTCAAATTATAAGGTTCAATCTGTGTTCTGAATGATTTTGAGATATTGAGCTTCAAAGTTTTTGCATTCCTTATAGCAAACAGTACGTGTGTAACAATTGTTTTCTTTAATAAAAAGTCTTGAAATGTAAACAACTTATAAAAAAAACATCCAATAATGTAAATAAGTTGTCATTTAATAAGAATATGTCAATAACTCAAAACAGAACCTTATAATTCCAAGGTGAAGATTTGTTACCAAGAAATAATTTGTTGTTGATGAAGAATCTACATGCACCTGTTAGGTATGCTTTACAATATTAAGACTGAGTTGTTTCAGTTCTCCGTTGCGTGCGTCTGTCTCACTTTTAACCAGTTTAACATCAGTTCTAGTAATTAGACATTGAGCATCGTCATCTCAGTACAGTATGTTCCACATAATCCGTCACCGCTGTGTCTGCGATGAGGGGGAGTGATCGTATCAGCAAAGTTTTGTTACCATTCGATAAATCGCAACTTTCGTTTTTTGCACAATAGCCAGCTGCGTTCCAAAAACAGACAATAGATCATGTGTATGTATAAATATATATATATAAACACTGCCAATTGCGATACTTGAGCCTGTCTAAAGATGACTATTTCTCCAATCTATCCTATTCCATAATAGTCATGTTCCTTATTGAGGTTGAGTATTTTTCACTATGCACTCTTGACGCTGCGTAATTTTGAGGAATTAAAAGGCAGCTGAGATGTACTGTAATCAAACGCTTCACCAGACACCACATCACACTGCGACTACAGTAGATGCATATCTAAACCGACCTACTGTACGGCTTTGATACTGTTGTTGTTGATCAAACAAACTTGAACTGTTACGAGTCTCAGCGTACCGGCATTAGTCAGAGTTTCACATTCTGAAGAGGTCTGTGGCTTCATCGCAAAAGCTCCACAACAGAATTTCAAAAGGTGATGCAAAATGTGAAAGGCCCTTGCCGTCTGACATGGCCAGACATGTCCGCCTCCGGTCGGTGTCGCACCTAGACAATGCAATTCCAGTTCATGGGTGAATGTATTGTGAGATAGAAATGATTAAACATTGCTCGAGTTTCATTTTGTGAATTGGATTGTTTGCTTGATGGCTGAAAGTAGAATAGAGGTGTTGTGACGCTGGAAAAATACCCTACTCGCTTCTTCTGAATTTGTCTTTCACAATCTCTGAAATTAAGTGAAATGACCTATATTGCAAATGCCTATATAGGTCTTTAGGCTTATCTGTGTTTCAGTCTTTCTTTCAGTCTATCGGTCTTCCTAGGTAATAAAAGTACGTTCTAAGAATGTTTTGCTAATGCTCTGATAATGCTATAACACTCACTTGCATTCAATTGTTTTAAACGTTTCGTGCTTCCAATAGGTAATGGAAACATTCTTTGCTAAATTATTTTGCAAACATTATAGTAATGTTATTTTTAAACATTTGTTTGAACCTACATACAGTAAAATGTAAGAAATAATGCCAAATAAATCCTTGCAGTAATAAAACATTCCATGAATGATTTACAAAAATCAAAAGCTTTTGAATCCATGTTTTTAGAAATTCATTAAAAAGCAAGGTAACTTAAAATAAATACTCTAACATTACTAGAGGAATTTTTCTTGACATGATGTTTAGAAAATATTACCAGAACAGTTCCTGTTAGCTGGGTTATATCCAAGTGCTCTATTAACATTTATTAAAATGTTAAAAAATAACTTTGATTAATCATTTAGCCGCATGTACAAATTGATAATATCAGCTAAGAATCTACATTTTGCCTGTAAATTTCTAGTTTAGAGCTTGGAATCATTTGCTCACCGAACCATTTGCCCTGAAATGACACCATTTCATCTGAGCTTAGCAAACTAGAACTATTTTAAGTTGGAGTATTGATTATTTGTTTTTTTTTCTGATTCTGATCTTTTTCCAAATGCATATCTATGTAGGATATATAAATAAATGAATGATTGAATTAATAGCCAGTAAGTGCATTCATTTAAATAAATAGCTAAAAGGCAATTGATTTATTGATCAAAGGAGTTTTGGTTTCTAGCCACTGTCATCTATGAGTTGCTTGGTTGGGTTAGTGGAGCTGCGCATCGGTGCAGATGCTCTCCAGTGAATTGGCTTTCAGCAGTGACATTTGCATTACGCTGATCTGAATTAAACTGAACTGAATTTCAACATTCATTTATACTAAAGTGAATCAGTTTTAATTTAACTAGAATTATACGCTGTAAAAAAAATCCTGGTTGCCTTAAATTTGTAAACTAAATCAAATTAACCTTATGAGTCCATTATTATGTTTAACGAACCTAAAACAGCTTTTATAACTTATTATATTAAGTTAGAACATGATTAACTTATAATGAATTAAAAACTGTCATGACTATGCTGTCATGAATAATTGATCATATAAATTTTTAGTGTTCCAGCATTTTATTCTTCTGCCTGCCTGATTAGATGGAATGTTTCACAATTTTTCTTTTTAAATGTTGTTATGGCTGAAGCTGCTATGACACAATCTACATAAAACTGTTATATAGTTTTGCATTATTAATGTTGGTGTGTATTCAGCAGAAGAAAGTTTTTGAATCAATTTCACTTTTTTTTCCGAATTATTAGTTTTTTTTTATTCAGCAAATTTTGTTTTTATTTTATGAGATTTCGGTTTACTCTTGATGCATTTTGTAGATTATACTTCTAAACAATTAATATTTAACCCAGATGCATAAATATTTTTATAAAAGAATTTAAAGAAGTCTGTCAAATTGACAAGCCAATATATGTTTAAAAATTAAATAGATAAACAAGTGAAAGCCAATAGCTGTTTGCATATTACATTTATCAAATAATTTAACCTTATTATTTTAATTTTATATAAACATATACCATTTATCTATTATCAGTTCTTATAATAATTATTAAATGTCTAGTATTTTTCCAAATACCATGTTTACATTTTAATTATCTGTGACATTTCAAAAGAATTGTAGCAAAGATTGTTGTAATGCACATACCTGTATAACAAATTAGTTGTGTAATTTTTTTTTTTTTTTTTTTTTTGCCATGATGACAGTAAATAATATTTGACTAGATATTTTTCAAGACACTTCTATACAGCTTAAAGAGACAAGGCTTAACTAGGTTAATTAGGTTAACTAGGCAGCTTAGGGTAATTAGACAAGTGATTGTATAATGATGGTTTGTTCTGTAGACTATCGAAAAAATATATAGCTAAAAGGGGCTAACAATTTTGACCTTAAAATGTTTTTAAAAAATTTAAAACTGCTTTTATTCCAGCAGACATCAAATAAATAAGACTTACTCCAGAAGAAAAAATATTATCAGATATACCGTGAAAATTTCCTTGCTCTATTAAATATAATTTCGGAAATTTTTAAAATAGAAAAAAAAAAATCAAAGCGGGGCTAATAACTCTGACATCAACTGTGTGCATAATTATAAAAATTAATTCAATGGGTTTACTGACTTTAAGTAAAATCAACTTGTTGCTTTTAAGGCACTTTTAAATAAACTAACTAATTGCTTTTTATTAGTCTATTTTATCTCTTTCACACTTACTATGACTCCTCACCGTCCCATGACAAATTTAACCTCTGTCTTTTTTCCCCCTCCAAAGGTTGTCATGAGATTTCTCAGCCCAATCATCTCACATCAGCAACACCTTTTGCTCTCTGAAGATGATCCGCATTCATAACCCTCACCATGTGCCGTTTCTACATCAGACGGAGCAGCTTCGCCAGGCGGGCACCCTTTGTGACACACTTCTCACCGTTGAGGGCCTTTCTTTTAAAGCCCATGCTCTGATCCTCGCGCTGGCAAGCAAACGACTCAGGCGTCAACTAACAAACCAGCATAACCCAAATCCAGGATACTGCTGCGCCATAGAGAGCGTTTCTCCTCATACTCTCAAGCAAATCCTAGACTATGTGTATAGCGAATCGGTGGAGGTTCCCAAAGATGACCTGGAGGAGCTGCTGAGGGGCGCGGAGTATCTAGAAGTCGAGTCTTTGGTGGAACAGTGTCAAGCGCATCTCAAAAATCCAACGAAAACAAACACAAAGTCACCCCATGATGAAAAAACACACAAGTACGCTCAAATGTCCAAAAGAGACCACTCTACAGAAGAAAACCACGATTGCTCTTCGGAAGAACGTTCTTCCATCAATAAAGACCGTAAGAGGCAGATCCACTCACCACCAAAAAAGACCTGTTCTCCAGTATCTCCCGTGTCTCCCATTTTCTCCAGAGAAACCCTAATTTCTGCAGGAGCTCCGTCTCAGACTCCACGTCTTTGCTGGCCTCCGGTTAACCCAAATCGGAGCATGGTGTTGAACTGTAGTGAAATAATGGCCTTCCACTCTCTCCGAGCGTATCCATATCCCACGCCAATGTACCCCATTCTCCACCGCTCGCTCCCGCCACAGGTCTCTTCCTCGCTCATGGGCTACACCGGGTTACTTCACCCGTATCACTCTCTCATACACTCTTCTCCACTGACTCAAGACAGTCCTTTCACTCCTGGCATAAAAGGAAAGAGTGGCTCCATCAATGCTTCTCTAACAGGGCCCATGACGGAGGATCGAGAGAGGTGAGAAACAGGCAGATGACACTTACATATATATAAATACATATATATGGCTTCAAATGGTAAAAGAGTATGTAGTATAAAAGTTAAGACTTCAAATAATGCAACATTATACACTGTTAAAAATATCTGCAAGTTAGCAATTTTATGTATTTTGTGAATCATGTTTTTATTTTTTCGCCATTTATTTATGCTATTGAATTGCTTCATAGGACTTTTAGTTTTTTTTCAACAACTTTTAACCTTAAAAAGTTCAAAAAGTGACTTTTATTAACATTTTTAATAGTTTAAAACGTTTTTGGGCCCCCTACAAAATTTTCCTTTGTGTTCCGTTCTTTTTGTGTTGTGAGGAAATGCAGTGCGTTTTTGTTAATGGTTTGCGTTGTGAAAAAAAGCAACGCGTTTTATTAATTTGTTTGAGTTGTGAAAAAAAGCAGCGCGTTTTATTAATTTGTTTGAGTTGTGAAAAAAATGCAGCGCGTTTTATTAATTTGTTTGAGTTGTGAAAAAAAGCAGCGCGTTTTATTAATTTGTTTGTGTTGTGAAAAAATGCAGGGCGTTTTAATAATTTGTTTGCGTTGTGAAAAAATGCAGCGCGTTTTATTGTTTGCGTTGTGAAAAAATGCAGCGCGTTTTATTAATTTGTTTGCGTTGTGAAAAAATGCAGCGCGTTTTATTAATTTGTTTGCGTTGAGAAAAAAAGCATCGCGTTTTATTAATTTATTTTCGCTGTTAAAAAATGCAGCGCGTTTTATTAATTTGTTTGCGTTGTGAAAAAATGCAGCGCGTTTTATTAATTTGTTTGCGTTGTGAAAAAAAAGCAGCGCGTTTTATTAATTTATTTTCGCTGTTAAAAAAAGCAGCGCATTTTATTATTTGTTTGCGTTGTGAAAAAAAGCAGCGTGTTTTGTTAATTTGTTTGCATTGTGAAAAAATGCAGTGCATTTTATTAATTTGTTTGCGTTGTGAAAAAATGCAGCGCGTTATATTTTGTTTGCGTTGTGAAAAAATGCAGTGCGTTTTATTTTGTTTGCGTTGTGAAAAAAAGCAGTGCGTTTTATTAATTTGTTTGCGTTGTGAAAAAATTGCAGCGCGTTTTATTTTGTTTGCATTGTGAAAAAAAGCAGCGCGTTTTATTAATATTTTTGTGTTGTAAAAATTGGCAGCACAATTTATTAATTTGTTTGCGTTGTGAAAAAATGCAGTGCGTTTTCCTAATTTTTTTTGCGTTGTGAAAAAAGGCAGCACATTATTGTTAGCTAATGTCAGCGGAAACAAATTAGCTTGGTAAACACAATTTCACCAATGCAACAACACATTTACAGTTATAACCAAAAGCAAAGACCACAAAGTCTTCATTGACAATTAATGTTTCTGCTTTTTTATACATTTTATTTACTTACTACAATTTGTAAAGCAGTGTGTCATTGTTGAACGTTTCATTTATTAGAATAAAATTTTTTTTATATATATAGCGTTGCCTTTTGGATGTTGAAACTCTCAAGTGAGATTAATCTTAAAAAGGTTTTTAAACCACACTGAAGGATTTTGCATGTGCACTGCACTCTTGTTGACTTCTTACCCTTCACTGACTGCAATAATAGTTTTTTTTTTTAAAATACACATTTTTATCTCTCACCTTTCAGGCTAATTGGAAATGCACGCCTCCAGAGGGATTTTTGCAAAACCTAAAATACATTGCTCCGGTCATGTTTCCTTGCAGCTTCTGATGACAAGTAAACCCATTGCTTTTAAAGGGATTAGTTGACTTAAATGAACCATGTACATAATTAAAAAACATAGGTTAAGTCAATTTAACAGTCCCAAGTTACAACGAGTGTCACTTTTTTATCTTAAGTACTAAACCAACGCTTCCATTTAGATAAAATAATTGAAAACTGTTTTCGTGCAAAACTTCACGGGCAAGCATTCAATTTACATACTGTACGCAACTGTTTTAATATGCATTTACATAAAAGTACTTTTAATTTGAAAACGAATATCAGTCAAGTGTGTCAGATGTGTTTTGACGTGTGGTATAGATGCTTACTTTCTGTACTTTCCAACAGACACATTTTCCCCAACCAGCCCCCTGTTCCACCTACATGAATTAGTTTTCAACCGGCTCCATTAAAATGAGGGGAATTAATAACGGTCTAATGTTCACGTGCAGAAGATAAACAATAAGGCTTCGATAAAAACTTCATGAAGAATTACACTTGTATTACAATGCATTTTTTAACACAATTTATGAAAGGAGTAATGCATATTTTAATAACTGAAATGTATTTATTATAATTTTTATAGCTAGATAGATCATGTACTATGAAGATGGATTGATACTGTGGATTTGTAGTGCTTGCGGTCAATGTAAGTCACGTTTTTAAGCATTTAAGCCAGTACAAAAACATCAAATGCACAAAATACTGGATAAGTCGGAGGAGTGTTTTGGAACACAATACTTACTATCAGGACCGAAACTGAGGGGAGCCCCCCAATTGTCCCCGACTTTAAAAAAGCAAACATGAAAGTCAGTCATCTCCACCCTCAGAGCAGTATGTTTAGTATCATTTTTAGCCAAAGTCTGTTCCACTCCAAAATTCAACATACACCCAAACCTGAGCCCCATTCAAACAGTTATCTTTATGCTTGTTTTCCTAAACATACATAGTTATAACATCCACAAGCTCATGCACATGCATTTCTTTTCCTATGCATGCACCTACAGGCAAACAGTATCCACTCACACAACATTTTAGCCTCAAATACATTACCTTTCATGTAAAACAATCAAGAAGTGTTTATTATGATGTCATTCAATATAGTTCATATAAGACAGCATAGCTGAATCGCGTAAAATCGGATGATCATTCCTTCGCTCTGTACATACGCTGCAGGTTGCTTTACTTTACCTCCTAGCAGAGGAAACCATTGTCTGTTTGCTTTTCTGCTTGTTTCCTGCTACCTGAATTCAAAACCTTTGTTCCTACAGGAGGTAATGTAAGCCTAAAATGATCTTTATCTTTTGATAAACCAGCGCATTTGATAAGATGATGACTTGTGCTGTCCACATGTGTTGTTTTGTTGAACGTGTGCATTATAGATCAACATACTTTTTCACTTCACACCGACTCGTTTCTTATTTTTTAACAATGGTGCATCTTGGGATTCTATTTTGAAAATGTTACAGAGTTCCTGCAGACGTTATGCAGATGCACTTTCTTCAACAAGGGTATAAGCAACACTTCTAAAAATGTTTAGATTTGCTTACTATAATAATTAAGTATATTATGCTTAAGGCATTTATATTGAGAGCATTTCCCGCGATCTGAATGTGATATTTGCGGTAAAAACTCAAAACATAAATTCACAGAGAAAGTGTATGTTAACATTATATTAAAACATCTGTTTATTTTCTATGTTCTTATAGTCTATTTTCCAAAACTGGTCAACACAGATTCAAGGGATCAGAAAAATAACAATCTGCAAACATTTTTCATATTTTAAATGAGGAAAATAAACGTGTGTTATGGATGTGACCAAAAAAATAAAAAATAAAAGTACAGTATACAACATACAACAAATTCTGTTAATTAAATTCCACAAACCAAAAGAAAAATATTGCTAATCAAAACGAAAAGAGTTGCTCTCGATTTGAACAAAACGATTGATTTAATTTTATTTGACATTTTTGCATTTGTGAGGAAAAAGCTTCGTTATGGATGTGACATCTCTCTGTTATGGATGTGACGGATGTGAAACTGCCACTTGTGTGACTTTAGTGAATCAAATATAATTGTTTGAAAACATCAACAGAAACATTTTTGAGTCTTTTTGCAGAACTGTTAAATATAAGCCTACACAAAAAAACCTAGAACTGGTTTTGCCTTTTTTATTGAAAAGTTTTTCAAGGCAAGGTTGACATTTGCATGGAATTGCTCTTAGGTTACTATGATCAAATAGTGCAGCGTGTAACTGAAATGCATGTTAGCATCACGCTGGTAACATTACATCTTGAGCATACTTTCAGCAAACTGTAAAAATTGATTGGGTTACCTAAATATAGTAATTAAACCTGTTTTAACTTGGAACTGTTAAGTTGACTTCACCTATTTTTTTAAATTATGCACATAATTTTAAGGCAGTGGATTTACTCACTTATGTAAAGCCAACTAATCACTTTAAAAGCAAGGGGTTTATGCACTTTTTACTGTGCAGTTAAAGGTTAGTGCTATGGAATAAATTAAATGATTGAATTAAATATTTTGGGTACAAATGCTAAATCTTTAAAATTTAGTTTTGCATATTAAGTTGTGTATATTATGTGGTTTATTTATAAACTAATTTCAAAAGGATCATGTGCTTATTACTGAACACAGCTTTTTACCGCATCAGCTCCGTATATTGCACCAATCAGATGAATACTGACTCACTATAAATAACCAAAGTTTTCCACTTTAGTCTTGTTCGTCTTGAAGAATCCCTCCTTCCACCCCTACTCCTCCCCTTTTCTGATTGGGCGGGGCAGTGGCCCGTTAATTAGCACTGTTGCCTCACAACAAGAACGCCACTAGTCCAGCCCCTCACCAAGCTGGTCGGCGTTTCTGTGCGGACTCCAAAATAGCATCTTAGGACAACTCTTAGCCAGATATATCTCAGCACGTTCACAAGCAAGGGAGTTCTCGAGACCTACCTGAGCTCAAACTCCAAACTTCAAACAGGAGGGAGCTCTAGGCTCTGGGAGATTCTGAGCTCATGGCTCTCTCCCGGGACAGCATGCCAAACACGCTTTACTATCAATCATCAGTTAAGTGTGAACTCTTAAAAAGCAATAACATTATCTTTGTGCAAACTAAAAAACTATTTTGAAAAAAACTGTGCCATAGCATGTAGGGCTGCACAATTAACCGAAAAAAAAAAATAAACATCTCGAATCGACCCCCTACACCAGGGGTCACCAATCTTGGTCCTAGAGGGCAAGGGCCGGTGTCCCTTCAGGGTTTAGCTACAACTTGCCTCAACACACCTATCTGGGTGTTTCAAGTATACCTCGTAAGACCTTGATTAGCTTGTTCAGGTGTGTTTGATTAGGGTTGGAGCTAAAATCTGCAGGACACCGGCCCTCCAGGAACAAGTTTGGTGACCCCTGCCCTACACGATCTGAATCCAGCATCTCTTTGATTCAGCTAATTATATTTTCTAGTTCGAGAGAAGAATAAAGGCAGTCGCACAAGTCTTCAAATTGTTTTAAATACATACCTCCAAATGATGTTAAAAGTGCCACATACTGTATTTATAAGGAATAATTCACATCACAATGTAATGTGATGTATTTGCGGCAGCAAAAACACACATGAGCTGACGCGTTTGTTTCTTTTCTTTTAAGAGGACATATGCATGCTCACGATTTAGGTCTATGTGAACAGAAACTGCATAGGTTGTGAATAACCAACACAATCTCACGGCAATTCGTAACTTTTTCATTTAGTGGCTTATTCGTATGAATTCGTACGATCTAATTTGTACAATTTAGTACGATTTGCTTATCCCCCAATGACGGTTGGGGTTAGGGGTGGGGTCAGGTGCCATGCCTCCTTTTTAAATTCGTACCATTTCGTACGACTGAACTCGTACGAATTCGTACGAATTAGCCACTAAACTGGCAAAACGTAAAATACTTACGTTTTCTCCTGAGATCAGGCTGGAATAACAGGTAGTAAAGTTGTAAGTAACTCTCAGTTTGTTACACAGAGTGATCATTTGGTAGCCGCACGGGAAGTATGATTTGCATTGTAGGTTTTTGTTTTCTCAGAGTGAGGGCAGCCATGACATGAGCGCACTCGGCAGTGAAAGTGAAAGCTTAAATGATTATATCTCATTTTAAAGTTATGATTACGACAAGCATTTGATATGCTTTTTTTTAATGGCGCAAACAAACTACTCAAACCTATTAATCTTACTCTTCACATAAGAGCGGGTGCAGCCATTTGAATATTTTTGGCTCGAGACTTCAGGTCCCATTCACTTCCATTCATTTTTAGACATTAAAAACAGCTTGTTATGCTGCTTGATGTTGCAAACTGACATTTTCTTCTTATATAATTCTACTTTGTCTGTATAATCATGCAACCGCTTGTTTATAGAGCAAATAGTTTGATCATTTTCTTGCGTTTATTATTCCTAGTCATTTCTCCCATAGGAAACTAAATCGCAAAATCGAGCACACTTCCGCGTTGAAGAATAAGGTCAATATAAAATTGAATAAAATGCAAAAGGTAATCTGATAATAATAAATGTCTCATTTTACCAGTGGAAAAAAATGGTATAATAATATTCAATTTTAAAATGACCAAAACAACATTTCAGATGTTTTACAATGTGCTCAGCTAGCTGGATTATCCATTCACACACATTTTTAACATAACATGATCTCTTATAACTGAATCACATGACTTTTTTTAATGCACATACTGGACTTTCGGTAAAAGTGTTTCCAGTTGTGTTTGCAGTTCATGCGCATCTTTTCTTATCAAATAAAAACTTTATCCTACTCAGCTATGCACAAGTGTTTATGCGCATTTTCAAAATGTATGCGCATCTTGCCATTTCCATCAACCGTTTTTCTATGCGTATATCCAAAGTGCACATAAAAATAGGTGAATGCAAACATAGCTAATGACAAAGGAACAAGCATATGTTTCAAACACAACAGTTCAACTTTATAATTATGAATAGTGTCTGATGTAATCACTTTAAGTTTGTTGTGGTCGTTAATGCACAGTAAAGTCTATTCAAGTGCACCATTCCAAGTCTATACTGCACATTGGCCTAATATTATTATTGTTGTTTTACCATGTTTGAGAAATACCAATAATAATAGCCTACTCATATTAACCTTTATTTTCAATCTACAGTATCATGAGAAAAACGTGATCTTGATTTAAACTCAAAAAATCATGATTTTCATTTTAGCCAGAATCGTGCAGCCCTAATTGCATGCATGTATATATTACACGTTCAGTCTGTTTTTGACAACCAAAACAACAGTTGCGTATATGCGTAGTGTTTTTCCACAACGTGACATCACATTCTAATAGCTTGGCATGCAAAATGTAATGTTTTTAGTTGTTTTTGTAGATTTGTGTGAATAGGAATCCTTTGGTCAAGTTTTTCATCTGTGCCCAAAGCTTTTCAAAAATGCAAAGTGGTTTAAATGTACTCTTATTACAGTCAGCAGAATGTCTATAGGGTATATGCACAGCTAGTGTTTCTTCCCATACTGATAAACTGTAATAGTTAATGTTACTATTTTCCAATTGAATAAGGTTCCTGTTACAGCATTAATGTTTGTAATGTCATTAAAATATAATCAGTTAAATAGACATCACCGCTCATTTAGTTGTTGAAGTGTAAAACGAGATGCACGCACCCACCAGTCAGGATAAGCAGACTAGCGCAGAAACTCCATTGAATTTATTGGGGTAAAATAAATGTTTATATTTTAAAGATATGGCGTGAAAAAGATGGAATTTAATGCAGTGCTTCTTGTACATTTCGAGACTCACTTTCTATCGTATATCAATCAGGCAGTGAAGAAAAAAAAAACAGACCTTAAACGCGATGAGTTTCTAACTACATACAATTCACCCAAATATTAGTAATACTATAATGACTTCTGACACTGTAAAAATCAATTAATTACTTAAAAAAAAAGAGAAAACTCACTCTCTCTAAAGTAACCGGCTGATTTTTATTCAAAAGAAGATATTAAAACCTTTTGTGTTTTGGAACGGTTCAGTTGACAACTTTTGTTTAAAATAAAAAACTAACAGTGCATGATAAAATGTCTAAAGGGGTCCAAAAAACGAAGTGTTATTTTGTCCTATATAAACCCGCAAATGTGATATACAACGAATCTAAGCAGGGAAATCAGCAGCAGCACCCGAAAGCGCGTGGTTTTCTTACTGACCTTTACCGTCTGGTCACAATTAGCTGTGGTTAAGCAAACAGATCGAAAACGTGTAGAAACGCAGCTGCAAAAGTGTTACTAAACCTGCAGGTGTTAACTGACCAGATCAACAAGTGGTAAAAACAACACACCAATGGAAAACACAGTGACTCAGTTTGAACTTGAAGTCACAAATAAAGTCAGAAAAGATCATCAACACAAGTTACAAATGGAAAATATGGACCGATTTCTTCAAATACGTTTTTTTTTTCCACAGGAAGCCAAAGATTCAAGAGGAGAGGGAGATTTGCTGCAGACACTGTAATAAGCCGACCCGGGAAAACCCCTGGAAGCCAACGAATGGGTCATCAACCTCAGGTAACAAATCGTTTTTAAAAAAATCAAAACAATAAAAATTTAAATAGTACGGCATGCTCCTGTCTGCACAGAATAAAGGACGGTGTAAAGGTTGAGAAATGCATGTGCATGGCAGTTACAGATTTAGCCTTGGATGCTTCTACATTTAGCATGGTTCAAAGAAAAGGATGCCTGCAACAGGAAGCCAATTGCACATCTCTAACAAAGATCGCAAGTTTTAGTAGAGATGGTAGCTGTTCTGCTGAAAGAAAAAAGAAAGGATAGAGAGAGGAAAAAAAAAATGACACGTATGTTTTAAAGATTAATTCATGCGCTGCAACAGTTTAGCATATTAGTTCGACCTTATTGCTTTGAGATATTTATATATATATATATATTTATATATATATATATATATATATATATATATATATATACACACACACACACACACATATACACACACACACACAAACCGGCCACTTTATTAGGTAGACCTTACTAGTTTATGACATGACATCTTGCTAGAAGTAACCATCAGATAATGGGTACACTGTGGTCATAAAGCGATGGACAATACTCAAGTTGGGTTTGGCATTGACGCGATGCTCAAGAAGTTTGGTACTAATGGGCCCAAAGTGTGCCAAGAAAATGCATACCTCTTCTGCATACCTCGGCTGTAACGAGTGGTTATTTGAGTTACTGTTGATTTTCTGTCAGCTTGAACCAGTCTGGCCATTCTCCTCTGACCTCTGGCATCAACAAGGCATTTGCGCACACAGAAATGCTGATCACTGCAAATTTTCTCTTTTTTTTGACTATTTTCTGTAAACCCTAGAGATGGTTGTGTGTGGAAATCCCAGTAGATCAACAGTTTTCTTAAACACTCGGACCAGCCCGTCTGAGACCCCTAACCATGCCAAGTTCAAGTCACTTAAATCACCTTTAGTCCCAATTCTGACACTCGGTTTGAACTGCAGCAGATCATCTTAACCATGTCTATACGTCTAAATTCATTGAGTTGCTGAGATTGGATTTTTGAGATTAGAAATTTGCGTTTAAAAAGCAGTATATATATATATATATATGCGCAAATGTGTGTGTGGGACAGTGAAACAGAAACCTGGTTTTAGAGCATAATAATTCATTAGTATGTTGTAGGGCCTCCTTTTGTTGCCAATACATCATCAATTCATCTTGGGAATGACAGATACAAGTCCTGCACAGTGGTCAGAGAGATTTTGAGCAACTCCTCTTGCAGAACAGTGGCCAGATCACTAAGTGATGCTGGTGGAGAAAAACGCTTCATCCGAAACACCTCAAAGTGGCTCAATAATGTTTTGATCTTGTTACTGTGTAGGCCATAGGAAATGTAGGAGATGTTCAACGCCCATATAGCACAAGCATTGGGCCTAAGAAATGCCATGATATTGCATCCCAAGCCATCAGTGATTCACCCCCATGCTTCACTCGGGGCATGCAACAGTCTAGGTAATATGATTCTTTGGAGCTTCTCCACATCGTAACTCTCCTGGATGTGGGAAAGACAGTGAAGTTGGACTCATTGAAAAAACAATACATGTTTCATATTGTTCACAGCCCAAGATTTCCACAGCTAGCACAAATGAAACCAAACATTTGGCATAGACACGAGTGACCAAAGATTTGGCTATTGCAACCACGTATATTGATCCTGTGTAGCTCCCAGTGTACAGTTTTGGTGAAAATAGGACAGCTGAGGTGCACATTTAATTATGCGGTGAGTTGAACAGCTGTGAATTTATTGGTTACAATCCAGGACAGCACCCAGACTTCCCTTTCAGACAGCTGCCTCTAGCATCAGTTTCTCCTGTTGGATGTGGTTTGTCCTTCTTTATGGTTTGCTGACATTACCCACCATGATAATGTGGCTCCTGATACAATCACAAAGACTTGCTGTCTTGGTCACAGACGTGCCAGCAAGATGTGCACCAACAAATTGTCCTCTTGTGAACTCTGATTTGTTACCCATAAGGTTGTGTGCATTGCAATATTTTAAGTAAAACTGCGCAACCACTCTGCTAATTCAACCTTCACACTCTGCTCTTACTGGTGGTATGTGCAATCATTGAAGATTGGCCACCAGGCTGCTCATATTTAGCCATGAAACCACCAACACTAAATTGGCTAGTGTTTCAGTTTCATTGTCCGACCCATATTTATATGAAGTTGAAAGCAGAAGTTTACACTCTAAAAAAAAAGGAACATGAGCATTTTTTAAAAATGTCTGATGGTAATTTATACTAAACGTTTACTATTTTAGGTCTGTAAGGATTACCTAAATGGTTTACATTTGCTAAATGCCAGAATAATGAGATAATTTTTTTTTTTTGAGAATTTTTTATTATTTCAAGACAGTCAAAAGTTTACATACATACCTTGATATTTTTTTAGCTTTGCTTTTAAACTGTATATCTTTGGTCAAATGTTTTGGGTTTCCTTCCACAAGCTTCTCACTATAGTTTGAAGGAATTTTGGCCAATTCCTTCTGACAGAACTGGTGTAGCCGAGTCAGATTTGTTGGCTTTCTTGCTCGCACAAGCTTTTTCAACTCTGCCCACAAATTTTCTGTAGGATTGAGTCAGGGCTTTGTGATGGCCACTCCAAAACATTCACTCTGTTGTCCTTAAAGCACATTTTAACTAATTTTGGCAGTATGCTTACGGAGATGGTCCATTTGGAAGACCCATTTATTGCCAAGTTTTCATTTCCTGGCTGATGTCTTGAGATGTTGCTTCAGTATTTCTACATAATGTTCTTTCTTCATGATGCCATCTATGCTGTGAAGTTGACCAGTCTCTCCTGCAGCAAAACAGCCCCACAACATGATGCTGCCGCTCCCATACTTCACAGTTGGGACAGTGTTCCTAAGCTTGCAAGCTTTAACCTTTGTCCTCCAAATGTAACACTGGTCACTATGGCCAAACAGTTCAATCTTAGTTCCATCAGACCACAGGACATGTCTCCAAAAATTATTCTTTATCAAAGTGTAATTTAGCAAATTGTAATCTGGCTTTTTTTGTTGATTCTGGCTTGTTGGTTTTTCCATGTTGCCACAAAAGGAAGCAGTGTGTTTGAGTTTTTCCTTAAATACTATTCTACAGTTGTGCCTCCAATTAACTCAAATGTTGTCAATTAGCCAATCAGAAACTTCCAAAACCTTGACACCATCATCTGAGCTTTTTCAGAGGCATAATAATCTTATTGTACGTAAACATGACTTTCAAGAAAACCTATAACAATTTGTTTTTTAAATATCTTTCTCATTATTCTGCTATTAAGCATAACAGAAACAAATTTCATAATAGTAACTTACCTAAAAGAGAAAAAAAGTTTAGTCACGTTAAAATCTACCTTTTTTTAAAAATGGTTATGTGCCATTTTATACAGTCGATGTAAACTTCTGATTTAAACTGTATATTTATCTATTTACATATACATGTGTATATATGTGTATATATGTGTATATATATATATATATATATATATATATATATAGATATATACACATGTATATGTACACATCCATGCACACATCCATATATATTGTTTTTTTTTTATAACCATGCATTATTAGACAGAATTCAGCCACTTGTTAACATCATGCATGTCACGTAAAGGGAAATGACTTCATACTTCAGGGAAGGAAAAAAAACAACACATTGACACCAGCTGGTTAAAAGTACATGAAAGTGAAGTTAGTTCTAGGAAAAGCACCTCTTGCATTTTTTGCAGTGCTGCAGGGCATCCAATGCAATAACATTCATGCATGTTGCATTGTTATATTGTCCGGTTTGACTGTGGGAGTCCCAAGAGTGATTATGCTTTGTTCTAGTTCACAAAACGTTCTTATTGCACATAAGCACAGTCAGATGACCTGTTACCTGCTAAAAGGGGTGTAACGCTATGTGTGAGAGAATATGTGGCTTCTGAATCGTGGTGCTTCAGCACAGTCCTGCGGTCGACTGCCTCTGTGCTTCACGGTGGTTGATATACAGTACCAAAAGCGAAGTGTTGACTCGTTCTTTTTTCATCCAAATTAGGGTTACATCGCTTTTTTTATGTGTGCATCTTGTTTTTTGGGGTGAGAATGATAGTAACACATGGTATCTTTAAGAGAGTTCGCAATTTAGTTCGTGGTAAGTGGGTGGTTTAAAATAAACATGATTAAATATTTCCTTTCAAAAGTATTTTCTGTGAAATAGTCGGCGTGTTTGAGATTCTATGCAATTTGAATTCATTTTAGTTTTTATATTTTCAGATTTTTATTTAACTTTTTTTAATTAATTTTACTGCATTGTAAAAATGACCATGATGAAAGTAAAAATAAGTAATCTGGTTAACAGTAAGTTTCCTTGATATATATACTCTGAATAGCAGAAAACTGACTTTCCCCACAACTCCCTGCATACATTTTTTTTATGTTTTTGTTTTTTTCATTTGTTTTTGTGCATGCTTTTTTTTTTTTAGTTTTTCTTTTCTCATAAGTGATGTAAATTATAGTATGATAATATGCATTTTTCTTAATACAGATTTCTAAAGATAAAATCTTGATTAACCACAGCTACATGTTCATTACTGATTTTATTTTTACAGTATGTGTGCACTTTTAATTTTGGTTTTATAAATTTATAATAATTTATACATTTATAAATTATATACATTTATAAATGTTTTTTATTATTATTTTAATTTTACTTTACATGGTTTTAGTTTATTTTTTAAATAATATTTTTACTTTATTTTTTAGGCACAATTATTAACAATAAACTGAATTTTGATTGTAATGTAGAGGCTGTTTATAAAAAGGCAAGTCAGCCTCCACAAGTTGAGAAGTTTTTATGTTAGTACACATACTTTAAACATGGAATATAAATCATGAATATAGAGTGTTATCAAACATAATATTGTTTCATGGTTTGGTGACACAACACTTCAACAAGAAGAAATAATTGGAAGTTATCAATCAGGCAAATAAGGTA